TTGCTTCTTTGCGTCTGTTTTAATCAATTTCTGATTTTCTCGGATTTTCATTGTTTTAATTATTGAAAATCTGTTTTATCAATGCTTTTACGTTTTTAATTATCATTTGCTAACGGGAAGCGATTATTAACGTTATCCATTAATTAATCGATGATGAAATTTATTTATTCCGATCGGATTTATTTTATTTATTTATTTATTTATTCATTTATTATCATTATCATTATTATTATTATTATTATTATTATTATTATTATTATTATTATTATTTTTGTATAAATAATGAAACAAGGCTTACGTGCATGCAACAAAAAATTAAATATTTTAAATTTAATTTGGGGAAAAAATCTCACTTAATCTAGAATCTAATCAGTTTCATAGCTCATGCTGATGAAATTGAAATCCTCAAGTTACCACGTTAGTCAAATTTTAAATAATAATAATAATAATAATAATAATAATAATAATAATAACAATTGTAATAATAATAACGGAAATGATTTTTAACGTTATAAATTAATCCGAAACGTTTTAATGATTGTTTTCACTTGAAACGACGACGACGACGACGACAAAACTTTTTCCACGTTAAAATTTATGAGACTAACTAATGCCACGCAAAAGTGAAAAACATTAAATTTTACTAATATGAGAAAAGAGAGAGAGAGAGAGAGAGAGTGAGTGAGTATTTACAAATGTAAAGTTTCAAATGTAAAACACAGGACATAATTTAATGTCAATTTAAGAGTGTAATTTTCGAAATGGCGAAGAGAGAGAGAGAGAGAGAGAGAGAAACATTTGGAGAAAAAAAAAAAATCCCGTTCCCGTTCCCTCTTTTTTTCCTCCACCTCTTCCCGGTTTTTCAAATCGGGCAAAAAAAAAAAAAAAATAAAAATAAAAATGAAATAAGCGAAAGTGATTTTTATTTTTATTTTTATTTTCTTTATTATTTATTTATTTATTTATTTATTTATTTATTATATACGTTATCATTTTTCGATTTTCGCTTTCGGTCGGATTGATTTTTGCCATAGAGTAAAAAAAAAACAAAAAATTTATTCTCTATTGTTTCGTTTTGTTTTGTTTTCAGGTTCATCGGATAAAAACAAATCCATTAAAAGTTCAATTTGGTTTTGTTACAAGGAAGGTTACAATAACGCCGTTAAAAAAGATATAACGATGAGTGATTTATTGTAAATGACGATGATGATGATAATAATGCGAAAAACAAAACAAAAACAATGAAATGATGATGATTGTTAAAAGAGGAGAATGGGGATTGTTAGGGGATGATGATGAAGTACAAGTGGAAGAAGAAGAAAAAGTGATGGTGGTAGTGATGGTGTTTGAAAGTAAAAAAAAAGAAAAACAAACAAAAAATAACAAAAAAAAAAAATGAGGCTTGTAATCCGTAATCCGATAAGGGATGGATAATCGTTAAAAAATAAGGGAAAAGAATCGGGTTACGTGAAACACACACAGACACACACACACACGTGTGCGCGCACGTTACAATAATTGAATTAAATTGCACAACGGTTGACATACGATAAAAAGACAAGAAAGAATTTGTTGGATTTTTTTTTCGGGGACCTTTTTTGACGGAGACTCTCGTACCGTAAGTTTGAATTTTCTTTATTTACATTTTTCCCGCGGTTTTTTTTTTTTTTTTAAATAATTATTTTCATACCAATTATTTTATAATAATGACGATGACAACAAAGCAAAGACGGCAACCGAATTATCTTACAAATTGTAAATTGTATTCTAAAATGAGAAAACAAAATTATATGAGTGAGAGTGAGAGAGAGAGAGAGGGAAAAGTAAAGTGACGTCATTATCTTGTTAGTCTGACTTATACCCAATCTGCGTCACGGTATTATAGCAAAGTGAATAAAAGTAGTAGTAGTAAGTGTCGTGTCGTCGTCATCATCATCTTCGTCGTCGTCGTCGTCGTCGTCGAACACTTTGTGATGCTAAGGGTGGTGAAAAAGGCCTCATTGTCGATTCCCTTTTATATATATATATATCTCATTTTCGATCGACGTCTCAATACTCTTGGGCCTGGTTTACATTCACGACATCATCCATCAGAATTAACCTTGTTTTATGTCTGTGTTTGATAATAGACGTGAATGCGACTTTTTCTTTTCCCCCTCCTCCTCCCCTCCCCCCCATTCTCGCGTCGTCTTCATCTTTCAAATCTGACAATCATATGCGATATCGTATTTATTTAAAATAATCAATCGGTTTGTAAGAAAGTGAATGATTAAGGAGAGAGAGAAAGAGAGAGAGAGACAATTTTTAACTTTTATAAAGAAGGCAGTGAAAATTTTTATAATGATAATAATAATAATAATTTAAATTATTTGTTAACGAATAAAAACAAAAAAAAATTTTGTAATTGTTGTTCGATTTCATTTTCATTACATGTCATTTCACCATCATTTTTTTTTTTTTTTTTTTGGTTGTTGTTTGTTCTTGTTGTTTGTTGTTAATTTAAATGTTGTTGAGATGTAGTCATTTTACAAAATTACACGAAACAATTTTGATTTATTATTACTGGTTATAACAAATGGCGTTCGCAATAAATAATCGTTAAAAAAAAAAAAAAAAAAAAAAAAATTTCGATACGCTAAACGGTGAGTTTTTACATAAACAAACGCATACGCGATCGTGGAGTGAATCTAAACGCACGCGCACTCACGCATTTCCCTCCCCTTCCACCCCTTTCGCCCCCCTCCTACATACGAAAACATTTAATAATAATAATATTTACACGACGACGTTTTGTTTTAAATGAAAAACAAAAGGTTTGAAAAGAAGAAAAAGAAAAGGATGATGATGATGATGATAATGATGAAAAACGCTTCGGGAATTTTAATTTTCTAATTGCCTTTAAAATCCTTTCCCATTATCGAATGAACACCTGAATTAAGTCGGACCAAAATATTATTAATAATAATAATAATGATAATAATGATAATGATAATAATAAGTTTTTCTTTGTAATCGATTTGTTATTGTAAATTTAACCTTTTTCATTTAAAATCTTTCACGAATCCTTTTTTTTTTTTTTTTTGTCTTCTCCCCTTCCCCCAATCAATTCCTTCCTTTATGTGGGTGAATTTCATTTTATTATTATTATTATTGTTGTTTTGTATAAAAAAAAACCGTTTTTAGATATTGTTTTCATAATAATAATAATAATAATTTAAACGTTATTTCGATTCGTTTTATTTTTGGCTTATTTGCAATTAAATTGAGTTTAAAAAGTAAACAAACATTTTGTTAAGTTGTTTTTAATCCCCGGAAATGGATAAAAACGGGATTAACGTTTAATCTTTTGAGGTTTTTGTTTGATTTACTCGGTTTTATTTCTCTCTCTCTCTCTCTCATTGTTTGTTCGCAAAAATTTTGTTTTTTAAAATATTTTCCTTATTTTTTGCCTCCGTTCGGGTTTAACGAAGAAAAAACAATAATAATAATGATAATTCGTAAAGGAAGGAATCTGTTGTGATGAATGAGTGATGGTGGTGAACGTAAGATGGCTTTGTTAAGATAATTTTTTCGTAAGGGTTGTTGTTGTTGTTGTTGTTTGTCGTGTATTATGACGTAGTTCCGTTTGTACATATATTGAGTTTTAAAACGGTTAAATTATTAATTCTATTTTGTGAGGTCTCGACCTTTAGACTACATTAAACTATCATTAATTTAATTTATTAAAGAGAAAAACTTAATTAGACGACGAGTTATAATTTAAAATAAAATTTTATTAAAATAAACGATCGAGTTCGGCATTCTTGTGTGTGTGTGTGTGTGTGAATAAACCATCTGCTCGTCGATCATAATAATAATAATGATTATTCCACTCCCGTTCTTATCTACTTTACTCACAAATGGACCAAATATAACAAAAAAAAAAATCTTTTATTATTATTATTATTTTATTTTATTTAAATTAATTAATTGTAATTGATTGTATTGAAAAGAAAAGAACGTCGGAGGATGATATAAATCAATTATATTATCGAAAAAATTTAAAAAAAAAAAAACTCTTGTTTGTTGTGCATGCGTGTGGTTTTATTAAGTTATTATTATTATTATTATTATTACTGTGGAGGGGAGGGGGTAGATGGTGATGGAGGGAGAAATCGGGAGAAACAAAACGGGAGAAAGTTTTATTTTTTTTTATTAATATGTATTTATAATTGTTTTTTTTTTTTTTTTTTTAATAAAATAAAACGCGAGAAGAATTGGGGGGAGGAGGAAAGGAGAGAGAGAGGGGAGGGGTAAAACGGAAACGGAAAAAGGTATTCGGAAGAACGTTCACATACGAAAAATAAAAAATTTTTTTTTTTTTATATTAACAAAAAATAAAATTTAATTTTCTTTCTGAAAAATTCCCCATTTAAAGAAGCCATTACTGATGATTTGTGGTAATTTTCGCCCCTCCTTTCTTCCGGGACACATCCAATCGCTGAACGGGGTAAGGTTCGACCATCCCTCGGGATTTTTTTTTTTTTTTTAACCACCCTCGGGAGAATGGAGAGAGACGATTTTCCACGGGATATCTTAGGGGGGGGAGAGGGGATTATTATTGATATTTTTTTTTATTTTTTTTCGTTTTTAACATTTCGATCCTTTTTATTTTTACACGAATTTTTTTAACCGTTAACCGGAAGTGAAACAGGTAAAAAACATAACAAAAAAAAAATTATTATTATTATTATTATTACTCTTTTTATTTGTTTAATATTTAGCGTTTTAACAAGCTTTATGGTCCACAATCTACTTTTACAACGAATTATATTTTCACTAGACAATAACTTTTTTTTTTTATATTTTTTTAAATTATTTTTTATTTATTTTAATTACAATAAATACGTAACAATCAATAATAATACGATAATAATTATTCGTTTAATAATGATAATAATAGTTAATAATTAATAATAATAATAATAAACACGTATTGAAATTTTTTTTTTTTTTTCGGCTTACGAAGATTGTTCGGTTTCCTTTGCCGACGATGATGAAGAACTCGAAACGGTCGTGGATACCGTCAAAGGTTCGGTTTTCCTACTATTCGCAGCAAAAGCTTGTAAATTTAACGGTGGAAATTGAAGACCGAGACCGACAGGAAATTGCAAACCAGCAGCAACGGCTTGCTGTTGAAAATTGGCCATGTTTTGCAAACTTTGAAGAAGTGCCGCAGAATGTTCCTGTGCTTTTCGCCGGAGTTCGGCAACGCTCGACGATCTTTGATGATCGTTTGCTGTTGTTGTTGCTGTTGTTGAATTTTGATTTCCGAGATCCGGTATGAGATTCGTATTCAAAGGCTTTATCGGACAGCAAGAACATAATCCCGGCAAACCTTGTCAAAACATAATAATAATAATATGAATTCTTATTAAAATCGTTATGGAAAATAAGAGGAGGAGGAGGACGAAACCGCCGGGAGGCGGAAAGGAGGAAAGAAAACCGAGGTAAAAATTTTTTGTCGAAACATAAATAATAATAAGAAAAAAAAGTAGGGAAGAAGGAAGGAAGAAAGAAAGGAGAAAACATAACTCGTTTTTTTTTGTTACTTTTATGTTCTTCTTTTTTTCCTTTTTTCCTTTTTTTTTTTATTTACCTACAATGGAAATAAAGTCGAAACATAAAAATTTGGGTTGTTCGTACTCACAAAAATAAATTATTGTCATGGGAGGGGAGGGGAGGGAGGGTTAATAAAAAAAAAATTATTTTTTTTTTATATTTTTTATTTAATATTTTTTTTAGGAGTTTAATGTGGGGGCATTCGGGCGTTCAAAATCTAATAAAATAAGTTTTAAAACGTAAAAAAAGAAAAAAAAAAGGAAAAAAGGAAAAAAAGGTTATAAAAACAAAACGTTATTGCTTACCTTTAAGACCTGAAAAAATCGGCGGAGTAAATTGCGGCGCTAAATGCGGTGGAAAAAAAATAGACGATGGATTTCTAGTTGATGCTCCAGAATCTACGAGAGGTCGAAAACCACCCCTGGAGAAAAAACAGGAAAAGAAAAAGGTAAGAAATTTATAAATATAAATTTTATCGTCGTCGTCGTCGTCTTACTACATTTAATTATTATTTTGTTAATTCATAACCGACTTTGAATTTTATTTTATTATTTTCTCCAAAAAAGAAAAAAAAAAAAAACAAACTGGAAAAACAAATTAAATTTTCATGTTCTCTTAACTTCTTCTGCTTTTGCCTTTTTCTTCTTTCACCGCCGACGACGACGACGACGACGCCGTCTTCCCCCACGTCTCTCCCCCCCCTCCACCAATCTTTCTTACCGTTTACACCTCTTTTCTTATCCTCCCGCCCCCGCCCCCCATTAAAAATGCTCCGATGAGTAAATGGAAACTTGAAATTAAACGCGTAATTCAATTTTTTACCCGAATTAATAAACTGGTGCCGCCACCATCATTTTGAATTTTATATCAAAAAACCAAAAGTGCTTTCCCTTTAAAATTCTCTGACAGTTTTTAATTTTAATTTTAATTTTTTTTTTTTTTTTTTTTTGACTGGCGGAAAAATTCTTAACCTCAATTTTATTTTTTTTTAAATCCGCCATTTCCGGAAGTTCTCTTCCCTCCAGGAAGTCCAGCTTTTTCTCCAGTGTTCAGAGTAGTCCTCCTAGTACATCCCCTTTTTTTTAAGGTTTTTCACGTTTTGTCAATATTTTTTCTTCTTCCCGAAAATTAAACGATTGTTATTATTATTATCGTCGTCGTCTTTTACCTTTTTTTTTTTAAAATCGATGAAAAAATATATGTAGGAATTTAAAAAAAAACGAACCCGATTCGCTTATTTATTTTTCTTTTAAAGTTTTATATGGATAATGTTCAGAAGATGAAAAAAAAAAAAAAAAGAAAAAAAAAGGGAAAAAGTATTCAATATGAGCTTTTATAATAATTTTAAATCATGTTTTATTCCTTTCATAAATTGTGATTTTAGTTTACTTTTAAATCCCAAATGATTTTAAAAAAATGGAGGACTTTTTTTTCTTCTCTCTTTCTTTATTTCTTTTTTTTTTTTTTTTCCAATGAAGTTAAGTCTAAGATTTGAGATTCTTTCCCCCTCCCTCTCCCTCTCTCTGTTTCCATTTCCCTCCCTCCTTCCTTCCTCCTTTTTTTTTCTCTCTCTCTTTTAAAGGTTAATATACCGAAGAAATTGGAAGAAAAAAAAATTGTTTTATTATTATTATTATTTACAGATAATAGAAGAAAAAATAATAATGATGATAAGAATTTTATATGGTTTGTCTTTGCTTATTATCATCATCATTATTATTAGGATTTAAAAAATTTTCCTGTGATTTTATTTTATTATTTTTTTCCAGCGATGAGAATTTTATCTCACTCTCTCTCTTTACCGCCCCCCTTTCTCTCTCTCTCTCTCTCTCTCTCTCTCTCTCTCTCTCTCTCTCCCCACAAATATATATTAAAAAAATTTCGTATAGCGTATTAGTTACTTAATAGTTAATTAGTCGCGAGTTATTAACTTAATTCGATGATTAGTTTAATTAATAATTATACATAAATGAACTTGTTAATTAATTATTATCATTAACGAAATCGTCACTTTTTTTTAATAAATTTTTACACTTGGTCACTTTATTATGACGTCATAAATAAACATTCATTCATAGTTCATGCCGCCATTTTAATTTTTTAAAAAAATTTTTCCCGGTTTAAAAAAAACTTAAATAACAAAAATTTAAATTAAATATTTTAATTTACAGGTTTAAAAGAAAAAAGGTTCGAAAGGAGTCATATCGTGGAGGAAAAAAAAGGCTTCGAAAGGATTCACATACAAGGTAAGAAAAATTTAAATATTTTTTATTTTTTCGCGGGGGAGGGGGGAGGGGGAGTGAGTGGGGGCCCCAAATCACCGATCAAAGGTTTCATATAATGTTTTTTGCGCGTGTGTGCGTGCGTGCGTGCGTGTGTAAATTTTCGGACTTTGAATAAATTATCATTATTATTATTATTATAATAATAATGACGTAATAATAAAGTTTTATAAGGATTCTGATGATGTAATAAATAATATTATGTGTATGAATATATGTATAAAAGAAATCCATTACGTGATCAAAGGCAAGTGTCAGGTTGTAAAAATTAGTGAGTATATTTATATATATATATATATATATAAAAGAAAATGGAACAAACGGTTTCCCTCCTTTTATTACAGATTAAATTTAATAATAGACTGGAATTCATAATTTGCTAACTCTCGCTCTTTTATCTCTCTCTCTCTTTACCACCACGTTCGTTCGTTCGGTTGAGGGAAAAAGGAAAAAAGGAAAAAAAAGGAAAAAAAGTTTTTTTTTTTTTTATACGAAAATTCTCTTTAGGCAAGTTTATTGGAATAATGTATAAGCTCAAAGGAAAAGTTTTTTTTTTTTTTTTCTCGTATAAAACAGGTTTTAGCTTATGGAAAATTACATTTTTTATTTTCACCTCTTTCTCCTCCTACTCCTCCTTTACCCTTCCCCTCTACCCCCCGCCATTTTTTTTTTTTTTTTTGATTGTACCTGCAGTTTTTTAAACTCGTTTTGGATTTTTTTTTTTTTATCTCCTTCTCTTTCTTCTTCCCTTTTTTGCTCTCTTCCCTGTCCTCTTTTTTTTTTTTTTTTTCTGCTTCTCCCCTCTTGCATTCCCTTCCGAGCCCGCCTTTTTCTCCCCCCCCCCTCTTTCTCTCTTTCTTCTTTACCCCCGGAATAACGGAGTAATTTTTTTAACTTTTTTTTTTTTTTTAAAGAAAAAAAAATTTCCTTTTTTTTTTTTTTTCATCTTTTATAAATTAAGAGTTCTCTATGGATTTTATTTTTTAAAATATAATTATGACTATAAAGATATCACGTAAATGTGAATTTTCTTTTCTTTTTTTTTTCTTTTTTTTTTTTTTTCAAAGGTGTTTCGCCCCCCGCCTTCGCCTCCCCCCCCCCCGTTTATTCTTATTCTTATTTTACCTTTTTTTTTACATCTTTTTTTTTCTCATTACTTTCCTCATTTTCTCACCTTTTTTCTTTTTTTTGTTAAATAGATTCCCGAGTTAACAAAGTTGATTTAATTTTCCTTTTAAATATTACCTAACGATAATAATAATAATAATATTTTTTGGTAGAATGATGATGATAATGATGATCGGGGTTGGTTTAATTAAATATTTTTGGAATAGTTTGTTCGTTTTTTTGTTTTCGATTGCGAGTAGTACCCGTTTTTTCCATATGAAAAACACCCTTATTTTAAAATTGTCTCGTTGGGGGGGGGGTTGTGGTGGTGGTGGTGGTTGTAAAAACTAATTCAACGATAGGATTCAACCATATGGTTTTATTTCAATTTAAAAAAGAGAAAAAAAAAGAATTAAATAATTAGCGTATGTCGGATGTGTGATGTGTGACGTGTTGCGAAGCGTGCGCCATGTTTTCTTCTTTCGGTTTTCCTTTGTGACATTAAATATTTCATTATTTATTAATTACGAGTTGTTTTGTCTCTCTCTCTCTCTCTCGTTTCTCTTTAGTAAATTGTTTTTATGAAAACGTATCACATAAACATTCGAGTTGTTGATTTGTTGTTGTTGTTGTTTTTGTTTTTCGAATTTTTTAAATTTATCGAAATGAATAATAATAATAATAATAATTTTTTTTTTTTTGTTTTTGACACTTTTTGTTATTTTATTCGTAACGGATGGAGTGAGAGAAAGAGAGAAAGAGAGAGCAATAAATTAATATCGGTATCGATCGGTATCGATTTGAACAAAAAAAAAAAAAAAAAAGAAGATAGAAAAAAGGCATTGTCCGGAACGAATTATGCCGAATGAATCATCATCATCATCATTATTTTTTTAAAACAACAACAAAAAGGAAAAAGGCATTGAATAATGCAATATTGCAAGTATCAGCATGAGCTGGACGGAAACTTTGACTACGGTGTCACGGATCACAACTCATTGAATAACGCGGGACCCCTACTGGTCGGAACCGGAAGTTAAAATGCGCCATTGCACAACCCCATACAATAATAATAATAATAATAAAAAATCGCAACGAAATTAAATGTGCAGTTCGATGATGCGTTGTTTTTGAACGCGTCAGGGAAAAAATAATAATAATAATAATAATGATAAAAGTTTTCCAGAAGTTTTTTTTTTTGGATAAAAAAAAAAACAGCTCAAGACGATCGACACCTGAACGGAAGTACATTATTATTAAATTTGTTTCAAGAAGGCGCTTCAACAAATAATCGTAAACAATACACATTCTAATAATAATAATAATAATAATAATAATAAAATCTTTGGTACTAATTTGTGAAGACCGTAAAAAAATGAAAAAGAAGAGGAAGAGGAGGAGGAGGAGGAGGAATTGGATTCGAATTATTTAATGTATTTAAAATGCATGTTTAGCTTTTGTTATATAATTTTATACGCGTACGAACTGATTAACCTTATTAAAGGCTCAAATTGATAAAATGAGATCACTCTTCTTTTCAAAAGTAGTATATAAGCTACTTTATTCGGGTCAAAGGTGAAATTGAACGAAATTTGATTTGAAAAAGTTGTTAATTAATTGAAAAATATATTGAGATTGACGTTTTAAAAAAATTCTCTCTCTCTCTCTCTTCCACCCCGGTATAAAACGGTTAATAAATAAATATTTTTCATTCGCCACCCCCTTTTACGCCCCGATGACGAAATCTTTCATCGTTTTCTTTTTCTCGAAAAGAAATTAAAATTTTCTTGACTTTTGATAAAAATTAGAAGGATGAAGATTGGTACGGAGAAAGTGGGGGAAGGTGAAGGGGGGGTGGAAATATAAAAAAATTAAAAAAAAACTCACCCTTCGGTAAAAGTCGGGAAAAGATTATGACTAAATGATGAAATTCCCGAGTTGAGAGGTCTGGCGGCAGCTGAGGAAGTCGTTTGTTCCGAAAGAGAAACCGGTGAAGAATTTGCAGAAGTGGCAGCAGAAGTGACATTTTGTGTCGTCGTCGTCGTCGTAGATGTAGTCCTTAAAACCGGAGATGGTGAAGTCGGAGTGGAAACGCTGTTTCGGGATAAAAAAAAAAACAAATTTTACTATTACGAAAAAAAAAAATGTTTACGACAAACAAACAAAGAAACAAACAACCACAAACCTCGAACTAAAAGAACCAGGAGTATTGGCGGTTTTTTTTTCAGTCTCTCGACAATCGCTCGACGGTCTATTATCCGTAATTTCGGATTCGATTTCCGTTTCCATATCGGTAACTTGACTTCCGGGAGTTATGCTACCCTCTCTCAAACGCGATGCCAAAGTCAATGAAGTTGCACCATCATCCAAATCTCCAACTTCTGGACTGCTTAAATATCTCGATTCGTCCATTTGAATCTGACGTCATCGAAAAAAAAAAAAAAAAAAACCAATAAAAACGTGGAAGAAGAAGAATAAATTTGGATAAAAAAAAGAAAATTTTGTGCGCGTTGAAGTTTTTAAAAAAAAAAAATTTCCCGTTTAAACAAGGTGGAAAATTAATACGGGAAAACTTTTTTTTTTTGGATTTTGCGTCTTTTTTTCTTCTTCGAGTTTTTCTTTTCTTCCGACTTAAAGAGAGAAAAACGTGATTAAATTTTGTTTTTAATGAAGAACACTTAAAAGATTATCTTTTACCTAACAACGTTAGATTTTCGAGGAAAACCATCCCCCCTCCCCCACCCGAAAAGGAATAAGAAGAGGAAGAGGAAGATGAAGAAGAAGAAGAAGAAGTTTTTAATACGAAAATGTGGTTTAACACTAAAAACTAACTTTAAAAAAAAAAAAAAAAAAAAAAGTTTTTTTTTTCGGAAGGAAGGGGAAGAGGAAGAGGAAGAGAGAGGGGGAGAGGTGGGGAGGAAGAGGGAAAAAAAAAGATTTTCACTGAATTTTATATCAGAAAACTGTGTAATATGGGTGAAAATTAAGTTTTAAATTTAGTTAATAAATAAATAACGGCTCATTCGAATCGATTATTTATTTAACGTTAATTAGTTACTTTGGTAAAACTCTCTTAATCGTTTTTTTTTTATTTATTAATTCGAGGATAAAAATGAGCGAAAAATTTTAATGAGTATAAAAAAGGCGGTGGAATCGATTAGAGAGAGAGAGAGAGAGAGAGAGAGAGAGAGAGAGAGGAGAATGGGGAAAATTATTATTATTATTATTTACTTTATCCTCCATTGTTTCTTTTGCACCATCCGAATCTCTTTTCGTCAGAGTATCTCCATCTCTTTTCCTTTGTTCTTCTTTCAATCTTTCTGCTTTTCGCCATTTTGCACGACGATTTTGAAACCAAACCTGTAAAAAAAAAAAAAAAATGGCGGGATTTTGATGAAAAAATGATGATAATGAATAAGTAAAAGTTTTAAAACGGAAACGATTTTTTATTTATTAATAATTTTCCGTTTTAAAATAACAAATAATCACCCTAATATCGAAAGCAGAAGAAAAAATAATAGTAATAATAATAATAATGATAATGCTGAGTTAGAGAAAGAGAAAAAAAAAAGTGAATTTTCTCCACGGATGGTCATGATAAGACACAGTGAAAAATTGCATTGACGTTATCGGTTTGACGGTTGAAATCCTTTAAAATTGCACTTCTATGTTTAACTTAGTTTGACAGTAGATAGAAGAAAAAAAAAATTTTTTTTTTTATATTTATTTTGATCCTATGGAGGAGAAGGGGGGAGGGATTTAAGGTGAGGCTAGGAAAGGATCGGGAGGGGGGAGGACGAGAGTTTAAATCTCCTCGTAAATGGTTTTCTGTTTTTTCTTCAGTTTTATAAGATCCCCCTTTTTTCTTGCGGGTAACCAAGCCAGCTTAGAATTAGACGGTCATAACCGTCGTCGTCGTCGTCGTCGTCGACGTCGTGTCAACAAAGGGAATTTTTTTTTTATTTTTTTTTTTAAACTTTATTCGAGAAGACTTGAAACTAACCCCTTGCGATCCCTGGGGTTATACTACACTGGAAATTATTGACATTATTCCAGATTAAATTGGGATTGAAAAAAAAAAAAAAAAAAAAATTCTTCGGCGGAGGAAAAGAGGGGTAGGGAAAAGGTTTATACCCACAAGTATAATGTTTCAATACTCTTGAGATTAGGTGGTTGAATACTCATCCCTCATCCTCCTTCGGGAACCCCGAGGCGAATCCGTGCCAAAAGTTTTCTTTTTTTTTTTTTTTTTTGTTTCATCCGCAAACCGGTTTCCTCCCCCCCCCCTATATATGTATATATAACGTGGAGATTTAAACATTTACTTAAGTAAATATAAATAAATTTTCAATTTATTATTATTATTATTACGATTATCATTATCATCATTTTTTTTTCTCTTAAAGTCTTTGTTATTCGCGATGGTTTAAACAAACGAAAATAACAAATGTCGGTGTTGCAAAAAAAAAAAAAAAAAAAATTAAATTAATTAAAAAATGACACACACGCCTGCGCCATTTTTTTTTTTTTCGTTGCAAAAAATTCGCCCCCGAATTAAAAAAATTTTTTTTGTTTAAATTTAAAAAAAAAAAAAAAAAATTGGAGGTTCTAATCGCACGACGACGACGACGACTCTATGGTAATAAAACCATAGACATCATTAATGACGACAAATAAAATTTTAAATAACAATAATAATATTAATAACAATAATAGTAATAATAATTTTTATGTTAGGGTCGTTATGACATGATGACATTTTCACTGCCTCCGTTATTTTTTCCAAAACGCTGCCACCGTTTTTCTAATAAATAAATAAATGAAGGATTAAGAAAAGAGGAAATTTTTAACTTTTTACTAGTGCGGTGGCGGCGTCGGCGTCGGCGTCGGTGGTACGGGGGGTATGGGAGGAAGAGGGGGAGGGGAAGAGCGAGGGCGATGATTATTAAAAAGTAAAATTTTCATTAATTAAAACGTTCTCAGGTGTTTTTAAATAGGTAACCTCAAATCTCAATTTGAATAATGTTGTTTCGAGTCGAGAGTAATAAACTACACTTTTCCAAAACCGTAATAAAAAAAAAAAAAAACATTAATTATTTATTATTTAGCGCTAAATTATTTTGAGGGGGTGGAAAGGAGAAGAGAGAGAGGGAAGGAGAGAGAGAGAGAGAGAGAAAATTTCAAAACGGTCGGTCGTTTTATTTAAAATAAGAATTTGTTTGGATTTGTCGTCGTTTCGAACCTGTACGGGGATGATTGTGTTATCATTTAAAAAAAAAAAAGGAAAATTGAATTCGTTGAATTTTTTTTTTTTTTTTTTTGTTAATTTTGAAATTTTATGGGATTACAACCCCAATTTTTTCACCCCAACACACACACACACAACCCGAACGAAACGAAACAAAAAAAAAAAAAAAAAAAAAAAATGTCATTTTACTACTACTACGTGTTTGTGTTGGGATTTTTACTGATTTTACGGTTAATTTGATAAACGGTCATTATTTATATAAAAGGATGGTGTGCGTGTATGTGAGAGAGAGAGAGAGAGAGAGAGAGAGAAAGAGAGAGTAGGAAAAACGTTCGCGTACGCTTCGACACCTTTTAAATTAAAAAGAAAACGCGTCAAATCGGAAAATTTTTTCTTTTCAATTTTTATATTATTATTATTATTTTCTTTTCGTTGTAAACGACACTCACAAAAAAAAAATTGACAGATTGTCGTGTAAATAATAGAAAGAGAGAAAGAGAGAGTGTGTGTGCGAGAGAGAGAGAGAGAGAGAAAAATCGTGTATGCCGACAGCAAACGCAACAGGATGTCGAATTACAACTTTTTTCTCTCTCTCTCTCTCTCTTTGATTTCCAACATAAAACGTTGTTCGGTTTGAATTTTTTTTTGGAACCTCCCGCTGGAAAATCATTGGATCGGATGACGTCAGGAAAAGTGGCAGCAGAAGAAGAAAAAGAAGAAGCAGAAGAAACAAAAAAAAAAAAAAAACAAATGGAGGAAAATGGAGGAAAAAGAAAAAAAAATTACAATCGTAATCGACTATCACACCGTAAAATAAAACAAACATAATAATAATAATAATAATGATGATGATAATAATAATAAAAGGGAGAAAATTGTTGCGGTCGAAAAAATAATAATAATAATAATAATAATAGGAACAAACAAAGAAGGGTTGTTGCGGATTTTACGGGGTTAAAAAAAAAAAAAAAAACAAACTTTTGTGTTTTAACTTTAACCCATATGTTTCATACCGACGATTATTTCTCCGATGTGACGTCACGAATGTGTTCATCGCTGGAGAAAAATTATGGAAAAATAAATTCTGGAAGGATTTTAAAAAATTTTACTTCTTAGTAATGATTACGAAAAAAGCATTATTATTATTATTATTATTATTATTATTATTATTTAATTCTTTCGAACGATGGATGGATGGATAATAATATTAGAAAAATCACTTAATGCGATGTCCATTACGTCATAAAAAATAATAATGATGATGATGATGATGATGAAAGGAATTACGTATACGCAATCCAATAACATCATGTTTTTTTTGTATTCTGAAATAATAATTAGGGCTTCTAACCGTAACATTTGTTCAGTCTTTTGTAGTGTTAATCGTGTAAATAGTATATCTTAATAGTATGTGTCACCCCTTAAAAGAAAAACAGATAATGTACTTGAAATAAACAATCAAAAAAAAAAAAAAAAAAAAGGTTGTAAGGGGTGGATTTTTCATTCAACAATCATTCCGACATAATCTCTGTCTATGGTTGATGGGAGTATATATATATATATATATTTAAGGGTGACGAAAAATGATTTTGTTACTTTTAATTTGGCTAAAAAAATTATTATTATTATTATTATTATTATTATTTGGGCAAAAACGATTGAAAGAGAAAATGATGATGATGATGATGATTGAAGTAAAAATTTTTGTAATACGTGGATCTAATGAAATTAAATAAACGGTTTTTCTTTTTTTTCGGTAAAATTTCAAATTCGGGGATATTGAAAGAAAGAAAGAAAGAAAGGAAAATGGTTGGAAATTGATTAAATTTAAAATAGAAATTGTAAAAAAAAAAATTTTTTTTCTAGGATTCTATTCTTGTCTCTATTTTTCTCTCTCTCTCTTTTATATTCTCTTTTCTATTCTCTTTCTTTCTATTTTTTCTTTCTTTTATTCTTTTTATTTTTTTCTATCAGGTTTTTTCTCTTACCATCTCTCTATTTATTTTCTTCCTTCTCTTTTTTTTTCCTATTTTGTCTTTCTTTTTCTCACTTTTCCTCTTTTTATACTTCTTTGTCTATCTCTCTCTTTCTTTTCATTTCTATTTTCTCTCTCTTTCTTTTATTTTCTATTTTTCTTTATTTCTCCCTCTCCCTTTTTTAATTTTTTTTCTCTCTTTCTTTCATTTTTTTTATCATTCCCTATCTCTCTTTTTTTTTTCTCTTTCTCTTTCTTTCTTTTTTTTTTTTCTATTTTTCTCTCTTATCATCTATTTCTCTCTTACATACTTTTTCTCCATCTTATCACTTTCTCTTTCTTTTATTTTCTATTTTTCTTTCTCTCTTCCTCTTTCTTTTTATTTTTTTTTCTTCCTTTCTCTCTCTTTTCTTTTCTATTTTTCTTTCTGTTTTCTTTCCTCTCTTTTTCTTTTTTTTTAATTTTTTTCTTTTTCTGTCTTTCTTTCTCCTCCCGTTTTATTTATTTTTTTTACTCTTTATTTTTTTCTTTCTCTACCTTTCTCTTTTATTTTTCTCTTTCTTTTTATTTTTTTTTATTTTCTCTTTTTCTTTTTCTATTTCTCTCTTTAACTCTCTTTATTTCTTTCTTTTCTTCTCCCTTTTTTTTCTCTCTCTCTCTCTCTCTCTTTCTCATAACTAAACCACATTCACAAATTTCATTGGCTAACAGTTTTTTTTTTTTTTTGTCAACGTCACACACACAAACCGAACCACTAATGGGTCCATCCATCCTTACGCCATCTTAAATCTTCTTAAATTTTTTTCTTCCTTCAAATTTTCTTATTAATAACTTTCCACGTCGAATAAAATTTCTATTTACAAAAAAAAAAGAAAAAAATGGTTTCCTTCGGGTTTTTTAAATCGAGAAAATCTGTTTTCTTTTTTTTTCCTTTTTTTTTTTTTTTTAATACTTATCGTTCTCAATTTTATTTTACCTCGAAAAAAAAACATTTTGATGTTGGATGAAAAAAAAAGGAAAAAAATAAAGATTTAAAAAAAGAAGAGGAAAAAGAAGAAGAAGAAGAAAAGTCACATTTAGGAAGACGGTTGAAAAGTGATTGTAATATGACATCGGACAGAAGAGAGAATTCCAGAAAAATACCCTGGAGAGATTAAAAAAAAGAAAAATGTGGTCAAATTTCATATAACTCTTACCGCTACCATGAAAATTCAAGGAAAAAAAATAAAAAAATAAAAAGGCTCGTGAAACAATGTTTTATCTCTCTCTCTTTCTCTCTCTCTCTCTCTCTCTCTCTTTTCTCTCTCTCTTTCTCTCTCTCTCTCTCTCTCTCTCTCTCTCTCTCTTTCTCTCTCTCTCTCTCATTCTTAACCTTTTCTTTTATGTGAGTGAAAAAAATGTCAATTTTCAATTCGATTCGACAGAATTTTCTAAAAAAAGATTTACCATCGCTATTTGTCATTTTATTGATTTCTTTTTTTTTTTAAATCGAAATAAAACGATAATCGAACATGAAAAATTGACGTGGAATTAGAACTTTAAATTTTTTATTTCTTAAAAAAAAATGACAAATATTTTTTTTTTCTTCTCCCCCTTTTTTCGTTGGACAGTTTTAAAATAATAATAATAATAATTTTTTGTTTGTTGTTGTAATTGATCTATTGACACGTCTTTTTTTTAAAGTATGAATGAGGTTTATTTGAGTTTTGTAGGTTTTCTATCGTGCAAAAATCGTGGTTTTAGTCGTGGCTGGTGGTTTGAAATTGATGATAAAAAAAAAAACAAATCGTATTGAAGTAATAATAATAATAATAAAAGGAAGTAGGGGGAGGAGAGGGGAGGGAGAAAAACGAGGCTGACGTTTCCGTTTTGCGGTTTGAAAAACTATTTCCCATTTTCCGGAAAATATCCAAGCGTTAAAAGAAAAAAAAAAAACCTCGTATAAGTTTTTTTTTTTTTCCTAGTTTTTCCAAAGTGAAATTTGATATCGTAAGAGGCAGCCCTTTTCGCACCCTCCTCCTCCCCCACTTCTCCCCTCGTTTTTTTTTTTTTTTATGTTTGCATACTCGTACGGAATACAAATTATATTCAAGATGGTGTAATAACTTTGCTTAGAGTTCATTTTAATGACACGATCAGGGATGTAAATGGGTTTATATTTTTCACAAAATAATATTAATACCGTAATGGAAAAATTCTTCTGCTTTTTTTTTCTTCTTCTGCTTTTTCTTATTCCGCTTTTTTTTTTTTTTAATCCTCTTCTTTCCTCTTGGCTTTTTTCTCCCCATCTCCCCCCCTTCGCTTCTCCCCCATCTATTCCCATTCGCCTGTTTAGCCACCACCCATTTGCATTTCTTTTTTTTTTTTTTTTAAAAAAATTCGATAATGAAAATTCTTTTTTTTTTTTTTTTAATGCCCCGGGAAAAAAAAAGGAGAGAAAAATAATCACCCGGAAAATTTCTCGCTTTTCTTTTCACAAACCCCCCCCACCCACCTTCCATCTTCCTACTCCCCACCTTCGTAATTGTTTAAAAAAAATAAGAAATCAAACGACGGTGAAATAATAAAAGTAAACAACAAATATGGCGGACGCGGTTGAAAAATTGATTTAAAAAAAAAAACAAAATGGCGTTGACGGACGCGCTTTTTTTTTTACAAAAAAAAAAAAAAAAATCTCCAACGTTGCCAACTTAATCGAAATAATAAATAAGTTAATTAATTAATTAAAATAATAATAATAATAATAATAATAATAAATTTAATTTTTTTTTTTTCATAGAGTAACAAGTTGTTTGTAAAAATTTACAGAGAGAGAGAGAGATGGGGGGAGAGGGAGTGAGGTAGGGAGGGGAAAAAATTATTTCTCCGTGTGTTTTTTACTTTTTTTTTTTTTTTTTTTTTGAATTCGTGTTTTTAGAATATAATCTAATTCCACGATAAAAAAAAAAAAAAGTTTTTTTTTTTTTAATGAAATTTTTTTTTTCCGAATCATCCTTTACGTTAAAGTTAAAACTAAAGAATAATTTAATTTTGTTTGTTGGTAGGTAGGTAGCATCTTTTAAATTAATTTAAAAAAATTTTTTTTTTTTTATATAAATTAATTGAAGATGAACGGTTGAGTGATTTCATAGCTCAATTAAATTATAATTTCTTCGAGTTTTACAAATAAAAAGGAAATAACAAAAAAAACGTGGGGGGAGGGGGGAGAGAGGGGAGGGGAAGGAAATAAAAGGTAAATCCGTTTGTTTCTGCTTTTGATTTTATTTCATTTATTTTTTCGCCATAAAAAAAATTTTCAATAGGATACTTCCAGGTTTTTTCTCTTATTTAATCCGAGTACTTGCGAAACTGGAGAAAAAATTACGAAGAAAATTGTTTGTTTTCCTCCCGGAAAACCTTAGGGGGAATGACGGAAAATTTGTTGTTGCTAAGCAACAACCAGAGACAGTCGTATTGGTTCGCTAAGGATAAGAAAAAGGAGGAAGGAACGTCGTGGAATGAATGAAAATGTGTGTGTGTGTGTCTGTGTGTCCTTCGTGTAAAATTTAATTTTTTTTTTTTTTTTTTGCCACGACGACAAACGACAAACGACGACTTCCCGGTTGTTTTTATTTCGAAAGGTTTAACTTTGTAAAAGGTCGAAAGTAAAAATAAACTTTATGAAAATCCCTGCCCTTAAATAAAATCCTGGAGAAAAAAAAAAAAAAGAATGAACGAGATCCATACACACACACATATATATAGATTTTATGGAATTCTTATACGTAAAAAAAAAGACTTTGGATAAGTTTTTGAATGTCACTTTTGGTTTTAGTTAATGGTTGAAAATGCGAAAATCCAGATAAAAAAAAGTATAGAGAGAGAGAGAGAGAGAGAGATACGAAGTAAATCTTAAAATGATTCTCTTAGTGAAATGCCTGAGGGAAAAGATTTAAAAAAATTTTCCTTTTCCTTTCCTTTTCTTTCTTTCTTTTATTATTATTATTTATTATTATTATTATTATTATTATTATTATTATTATTATTATTATTATTATTATTTTTATTTTTTAAAAATCGAAAACAAAACAAATATGGAGAATTAAATTCGAATGATTTTTAACAAAAAATTTATTTATTTATTTTCCAGACGTGGTAAAAGAAAGAAAGAGAAAAACCTGGAGACGGGCGTGGAAAAATCGTCGTCAAGGGGTAAGTGAATTTTTTTTTATTATTATTAACTCACACATACGTCTTATCTTACGGTGATAACGGTGGTGGTGGTGGTGGTTGGGGGGTGGGAGAAAAATTATTATTAATATTATTATTATTATTATTATTATTAATATTAACTTACCTGAACTCTGGCTTCGGTTAAATTTATTTTCATTGCCAAATCTTCTCTCGTAAATACGTCAGGATAATGAGTTTGTGCGAACGCCGTTTCCAGTTCTTCCAACTGATAAAAAAAAAAAAAAAAAAAAAAACAATTTCATTTGATTTTTAACGGAAACGGAAATGAGGGGAGGGGGAAGAGGGCGAAAAATTTTTAATTACCTGTTGCAAAGTGAACGTCGTTCGATTACGCCTTTGTTTTCTTCGTACGAACGTATCATCGTGTATAGCCGGATGATAAGAATAACTCGTATCTGATAAGAGAAGAAAAAAAGAAATTTTTATAGAGCCGCCATTTTTTATTTATTTATTTATTTATCGTTATTAAATTATAAATTATTGTTAATAAATTTAATGAACAATCGTTATTATTTAAAAAAAAAAAAAAAAAAATCGTAGGAAAATTATCATCATCAACATCATGACTATTTAAAATCGATTCGATATTTATTACGAACGTGATTCATGCGTGAGAATAGGAAGAAGGTGGGGAGGTAGGGGAAACGGCGGCGGGTCGGTTAATGATATTCATATTCGCATAAAAAAGGAGTCGGTTGTTTTCCAGTAGGAACCCATATCATAAAAAGTTTATGTTATTTAAAACCAGCATAATTAAATTAGTTAAATTATCCGATGGAATTATCATCATCATCATCATCATCGTAGAATACAAAAGGAGGATGTTGGGGTGGTGGGGGGGTGGCGGTGTGCCAGTGGCACGAGAGATAGGGTTGTCACATTTGATTACCGAGTGTCAAAGTTGAATTTTCTTTTTTTCTTCCCCCCTATAATACCGAATTCCCCATGCAATTATCAAACCAGCTGAGACTTTAAAAAAAAAAAAATTTCTTTCTTTTTTCCGCGAGGGGAGGTGGGGGGAGGATTTGAAAAATTCCTATTCAAAGATAACAACCGGTACTTTAGGATAATTTAATTTTTTTTCTAATTTGAAAAGGAAAAAGGCTTAATTAAATATTTAAAAGAAAATTTTTTTTCCATTCGTCCGTTCGTACTTACACGGATGAGTTGGAGTGAATGGATAGTCCAGCGTTGGTAGTCTCGGTGCCGATGATGGATGCAACGCTGGAGGACAATGATAACAAAACATTCCTCCTCTGTGACTGCCGATCTGAAAAAAAAAAATGGCGGAGTGAATGACAAAAAAAAAACTGTTTGCTGATGACATTTTCCAATGGGAACTTGTGTATGCGAAAGAATGCGTGACGAAATGATGCGCGACCACCGCGACCACAACCCCCCGTATTAAATTAATTCAATTTAATCAAAATTATTATTAATTATCATCATCATCATCATCATCGTCATTTTTTTTGATTTAACCGTTGAAGGCAGGCAGGAAGGCGGCAAGTTGTTAAATTATCATCAACTTCTCTATAATTTAATCTAACGTTTCTTTATAGCGGGTCTATAATATATAAGTTTGTCTTGTAATAGCACGCGAGACGACGACGACATTTTTCTTTCTCTCTCTCTCTTTCTTTATTAGATCATCTTTTTAAAAAAAATTAAATTGGACTGAGTCACACCACAACAATTGATCGAAAACGTTGTGTTAAACACAAAAAAAAAAAAAATTCGAAGTAATGATAATAATAATAATAATGATAATAGTTTTTTTTTTTTCCGAAAATTTAAACCTCGCGTCTCGTCGTCGCGAGATGATCACCCGCGTGACGGATTTTTTTTTTCTCCCACTTATAAATAATTCATATGAGTTTACTTAAAGTGCAGCGTTTAAATATAAAAACAAAATAATAATAATAATAATAAATAAATAAATAAGTAAATTCGTTTTTCGTCTTTAAAGTCTCTCTTTCTTTCTTTATTATGTACATAACAAATAAAGAAGGAATTGCCAACGTTTGAAAGAAAAAAAAAAAAAACGAAATGAAATGAATGAGGGCGGAAGAGGAAAAAAAACAAAAACCCCTTTTTTTTTTATTTTATTTTATTTTTCTTTTCAAAGCAAAAAAAAAAAAAAAAAAAAAAAAAAAAAAAAAAATGGAGGGAAAAAGGAAAAGGAAGAGAGAGAAAAGAAGCCTCAAGTTATTTTTTAAAATTCCATGGAAATTTCCATGGAAAAAAAAAAATTTAAAAAATATACGTATATCATTTTTTTTTCTATTTTCCTCCACCGCCGCATTAAATTAAATAAATTAAATTATTTATTTATTTATTTTTTATTCGCGATGTAAATATTAAACGTAAATGAAATATTTATTATTATTATTATTATCATCGGTGAAAAGGTTTATTTAGGCTGTTCCTGTAGGAGTGAATTTTGTAAAAGGAAGAATGAAGGTTGGGTTTGAATGAAAAAAAATGTGTTTGTTGTTTTTCTTTCGTTAAATTGAATTTAAGATTTGTAAATATCGGACAAAGTTTAATTAATTTGTTTTAGTTTGTTTCCTTTGCCTAATTATCGGGGCCCCTTTGAAGAAAAGGTTCAGGTAGAAACAAGGAAAAAATGATAGGAAGGGTGGGGGGTGGTGGTGATGGCGATGGCGATGGTGAAATTAAATTTTTAAATAATCTTTCATTTAATTTTATTTAAAAATTGGCAAAAAGGTTTTTGAACCGTTTGTTCGTTTGTTTGTTTATTTGTTTGTTTGTTTGTTCGTTGGTTCGTTTGTCGTCGGGAAAAATATTCGGGAAAGTTTAATAAGGAAAAAATTTTCTGTTTAAAACTTTCGTTTGTTTTTATACGCGTTGATGACGTAAAAGAGAGCAGAAGAAATGAATTAGTTTGTTTTTGTTTTTTTTTTTTTACGACAGAAGAATAATAACTTTCATTAACCTTCTAAAAATTAACGACTTGAATTTACACGCACACGCACACGCAACACCACGTACGCGTCGGTCGGCTCCAAACATAATAATAATCGTAACTATGAAAATAATAAGCGTTGTTATTATTATTATTATTGTTAGTTAAACGAACTATGTGAATTATTTCATTGAAAATTTTTTTTACGGTCGCAAAATAAACGCGCACGCACTCACGCATTCACTCACACGCACTCACGCACTCACTCATTGATTCGAGAAGAGATTTGAAAATCTCACAAAAAAAAAAAAAAAAATTTATTATTTGTTTTCGGTTAAAAGATTTGAAGTTAATTTTAAAAAAGATGACAAATTGATTTGTTTCATTCGTTTGTTGTTTGTTTCATTCGTTTGTTTGTTGCTTGTTCGTTGTTTGTTGTTGCTCCTCCTTCGGGTAGGTTGGAAAACCGTTGCGGGAAACACTAAAAAAATTTTTTTCTTTTTTTTTTTTTCATTTAGTTTTGTTATCATCGTTTTAAAAAAAAAAAATTGCGTGGTGAAAATTTGGGGGGGGGGAGAGAGATGAAAGAAAGAGGGGGAGGGGAGAAGAGGGGAGAAGGGGGAAATCGAGTTTTATTTAATAATTGGACAATTAAAGAATTAATTGAACATGAGCAAAACATTATTAGGATGATGATGATGATGATGTCAGAATTAGAGTAAAAGAGAAAAGTTTTTTTATTACATAGATAAACATAATCGCGTACGCCATTTTGGTTTTCCGATTTTCTCCGGTTTTGTTTTTATTTCCCCCGAAAAAA